CTGGCCGTGGCACTCAGTGCTCTGGGCTGGGGGACAAGGTGGGGATGGGGCACAGGGGGGACTGGATGACCTTGGAGCTCTTTTCCAACCTCAATGATTCTGGGATTCTGTGAAACCAAAACTATCAAGTAAACACTTAACATCAGGAGGACAAAGCAGTTTTTTTGTCCCCACGTTAAGTGAAAGCAAAGTCATCATGAAGACAAGGAACTTTACCCTCCCTGGTGAGTCAGTCCCTGTAGCCCCTGAGATCGCAGGCGAAGGAGGCCCAGCCCGGGCTGCCTGTATGATACATTCTACAGTTCCACATAAAAATTTAACTCTCTTTCCCCCTTCCCTCTTTTTTTTTCTCTTTCCCCCAGCAATACAGCTCGTTCCAAACAGACAAACTGGAATGCAGCCAGGTGGGAAGCTGGCGATCCAGCCCCGCCGTGAGCGCCGCCGCCGCCATTCAGGAACAAAACTTCCATTCAGAAAACAGCGAACTTTTATACGCCCCACCGTACAGCCTGCCCTTCTCCTACCATTATGGACACTTCCCTGTGGATTCCCACGTCTTCAGTGGCAAAAAACAAATGCTGCCTGCAAAGTTCGGGCAGGCTCAAGGAGCACCTTGTGAAGTGGCGCGGCTCTTCCTGAGCACGCTGCAGACCAACGGGGAGTGCCAGTGGCACTACACCAACCCCTTGGTACCCAACAGCCAGTCACCGTCCAAAAACCTTCCTGAGCAGCCAGTGAACATCATCAGGCATAACCTTGCACAGAGTTATGAAGGTGGGTGTCGCTTCGAGGACAGATAAAAGGCTGTGGGGGTGTCCGGGAATGATCTGTGTCTGGAAAGCAGGGGTTTAGGAAACACAGAAAATCAGAGGCAGTGAAAGGTAACAACCACTGTGTTTACAGCATTCACATGTTGGTCCTTCTTCCCGTTACCATCAGCACTTGATTGGGAATATTATCAATATTCACCAATTCAGCTGGTGGAATGGATTCACCAGGATCACTTTTAGAACAGCACAGAGATATCACCTCCTTCAATACTGGCACAGTTCACCCTCATGTTTTGCACTCTCAGAGTTCTTTAGGGGAATTGCTCAGGTAAGTCACTGCTGAAGTCAGATTGAACCAAAATGTACCTCAGCTCACATGCAGGAATTAAAATAAACATGATCTGTTTCCATAAAAATTGAAGGTTGTCCTTTCTGAGCACAAAGCCAGTAGGGATGTCTTCACCTTACAGTTACTACAGGGCAATAATTCTGCTTTATTTGATAATAATTCTGAATTTGAAAATGTCTTTAGTGCTCCTCCCCACTGTCCATCTCCCTGTACAGATGGCCAGCTCAAATGTTTTGAAGGAAGCACTGAAGACATTGACTCCTTTGAGGTGGCAACCTGTAAAAATAACCTTGAAAAGTTATGAAGTAACCAAATGTGAAGCAGCTCAAAATACACTCTAATCACAGAAGGGACCTCTGGAGATCATCTAGTCCAACCCATTAATTTTTTTCCCTGTATTCAACAATAATAGGGTTTATTGCAGTGGTTTTGGCAGAGCTTGATCTCTCATTATAAACACTCCTGGGCTCACAGCTGGGCCAACTGGAAAATGAAAGCTGAGTCAAGCTGTGATGTTTTCTCCTCCAATATTAGGCAAGGAACAATGTTAATTATCTAAAGAAATAAAAATAGTAGGACAAACCAGACTCTGGCAAATTAGACTGTTTCAGGATGGTGTCAAGAGTATCTTCAGCTCAAGTAACAGCATTAAATACTCCCCTCATTCACCTTCCTCTCACACAACTCTAAATATAATTGCTTTGATGAAATAATTGCTTTCATGAATGAGCCTCAAAGCCAAGTTCTGCTGAGATTTCAGGTTGCTGCTCATTTTAGCAAAAATAGCCTTAGTTGGCCTAGATTCCCCCCCTCCCCACAGACTTTACTTTCAGTAACTGTGAGTTGTACAAAAACCTGTTACAGAGAGATGCAAAGTAAAATTACATATAAAACCCCACCACAAACTAGTTTGGACAGTCACATTAATTACTTTTTTGTGAGTTAAGATGTATCTGAAACTGTCAGAGAACATCAGCAAGTGCAGAATTAAGATCAGCTGTGTAACAGACTGCACAGGGCTGGAAACCTGCTGAATTCAGAAGAATTCCTTTAAGCAGCACTCTGGTTTATCCCTTCCCAATCCAGAGCCAACCCTTAGATCTCACCTGCACCCTATTTTGATCAGTTTAAAATCACTGATGAGGCTGGACTGGCGGACATCTGTTATGAAGTTGGGTGGAAACACTCCTTTCTTCCTGCATGGCGAGGTTGGAATGAAAGAAGAAGTAGTAAAAATTTAATATAAAAAAAAAATTAGAAAAGGTAGGCTCAAGACAGTTTTTTGAGCACCAGAAACAAGAATTTATTCACTCAGGGACACGACATTAGATAGCCAAGATCTTGAAGTGAATATCAGCAGATGTTTAAGGGCTGAGCTTCCTCATCAGACAGCATCAGACATTGAATGTGTCCCCCACAGAGGAGCAAATAACTTCTCCCCAGGGCTTTGTCCTTCACAGGACTGTTTGACCTCACCCAGCTGATGGACCTCACCTCACTGACCGTGGCATTTCACTTCACTCTTCTGTGTTTAGGTTGAAAATGAGCAAGGCTGAAGCTCTTCTTACAGCCAAGAGCAGGTTAAATGCTTTTCCTGAGCTCATGCTCCTCTAATTTGCTGGTTTCCTTTGGTTGCTGTTGTGGGAAAAGGAGGAATTTTAGACCAAAAATAAGAAATGGCTTTGTCTTTAGAAAAAAGAAAAAAGAAAAGAAAAAGAAAAGTTACATTTTTTGAGGATAAGGATAAAGATTGAAGTGAATCCTGTAGTAAGGATAGAATAGAGCTACTCTAAGTGTAGAGAAATCAGCCCAGCTCTTCTTCTCTGCTCCCAGACCAACACTGAGAATGGATGTGGAAAGAAGAGCCTGTTCAGAGAACAGCCTCTAAAACTTGCCACAACATTTGTCAGCAAAGCCGAGTGAGCCGAGCAGCAGATGAGCAACTGGTGTGGGCAGGTAGCTCATAGTAAATATATTCCATCAGAAGGATTCCACTGGAATACTGTTAAAAAAAAAATCCCCCCCCCCCAAAAAACCTGCAAGCAACTCCTGGTATTTGTCAGCCTCATCACACTTGTCTCATGAGGAGGAAACACATTTTTCTCATGATGAGGAAACACATTTTCCTCGTGATGAGGAAAATGGACCTGCAATACCAGTGGTTCTTATTTCTGGTTCTATTCCTACTTAAGGTTTTCTTGCTTAAGTTGGAATGTGTGGGTTCTTTTTTGAGCACAGATGTATTTTAGCAGATATTTATCAGGTATTTGATGAAAACTGACTTGGGACAATTAATTCCTTTCAGAAGCACTGACAGTTGTGCTGTTTGGGAGGGGAAAAAAGAAGAATACGGTCAAACATGGGCCTGGTCTGAGATCATGGCTTGACACATAGTGTTGTAAGAAGCAAAAGAAAAACAGAGGCTCCACTGCAGACAGGATTTATATCTAATTGTTCCAGCCTTGTTTCCTCCTGAAGCTGAGTCAGTGCTGCTGCACTTCTGAGGCTGGTGGCAGAAGCAAAATCCGAACCTTTGGGAGCCACTTTTTTTGCTGTAAAAGGGGGCGTCTGATCTCCCTTACCCTGTCAACTGCTGCTTTTTCCAGTGGCTCCCTGAAAAACTGACAGCCAGGGAGCTTCAAAGCAAGGGAGGATCTGCTCAGCATCATTGTCTCCCATCCATCCAAAGGCAATGCCAAATATGACATCTGGCAACCGGGTTGGATGCGAGGGCTATTCCACATCACATCCACGGGAGCGCCTGCCAAGAGCGCCGTGGGCCAAAGACATTTTTCTCCATGGAAAATAGCTTCTTTGGGAGAGATCAGAGATTGGAAGACGATCATGCCAAGCCATCAAAGCTCTGAAAAGGCACGTAGCAGATACAAGTGCCTGCAAATCAGATGTTTCTGCCTCAGAATCTGGTTTTGAAGCTTCTTCCACTTTTCTTTTTTTTTTTTTTTTCTCCCCCAGCTGGCCTAGTCATCAGAAAAGAAGCTCATTTCAGTGAAGGCAACCATATTCTTAGTGAGGGAAGTTTCCTTTGTACACTCAAATGGATAAATTGCTACTGTGGATACCACAGGACCCACTTCTCCTTCAGTTTGTGCTGTTGGCCAGCCTGTGCTCTCTGTGGGAGGCTCAGTGCCATTAATCATGTCCAAACTCGGGGAATTAGGAAGAACACTGAGAAAACCCATGAAAAAGCTCCAGGTTTATCTTCCTCCTGAAAGAAATAAGTGACATTTTTGCAAAGTGTACTCCACTAGAGACAAAGAGGTCTGGAAGATCATGTTGTCTTATCTTTGGTTTTGGAGGGAGAGTAATAGAGAACATCAACCCATGTCTCAGATGACTTACAAGTAGGATTTAGATCAGGACACAGCACAGATATTGAGTTAATCTAAAAAGTGTCTTTCTCATGGGCATGGAGAGTATTAAGACCTGTTGTATCTTTGCTTTGTTTGACACAGAGGG